CATGAATTTGAGGAATAGCAAGAAATCCAGGTCAGTGAAGCACTGGGGCTGAAAATCAGGGAGGAAGCAGCTTGGAAGAAAAAGACATGCAGCTTCTTTTAAACTGAGAACAACTGCTATATGGTTAATCAGGTATTACATAGCTCATAGAATCTAAAGTTACACTCTAAAATGCATCTTTTAAAGCTAATAAGCAAGCAATATGCACTATATTAGTATAAATGTGGTAAATGACCAAATAATTTGAGACTAAATATATTATTTTTTGAGTATGGAAGCATTGAGTTATTTTTACTTAATGCAAAGTGACTTTTTTAATTAAAAAAGTAATGTTTGTTTTTAAAACACACAATTATGTATGAAAAACTCACTCCTAATACACAACTTAAATAAAAATTGTAATTTCCCATCTGGGATCACAGTTGAATAAAAAGATCATCAGAAAAAGCAATACATTAATGCCCTGATATAATTAACATTAGAAAGGTATTTAGTATGGGTGGGAATATATCTGGGAATGTAGTATTTTTTTTTTTTAAGAAAAAAATCAGCAGGCTAAAACATTTTCTACTTGAATGGGGAATTACTAAAGATGGATTAGATTCTATGTGATTCAGATTCTGTAACTAAAAAACGACCTGAAAAAGAAAATCTACTTCTTAAATTCTGATCTTATAAAAATGATTTTTGCATCTGAAGGAGCTCCAGGTGTCTCTGAGTGCCAAAAAAAAAAAAAAAAAAAAGAAAGAAAGAAAAGAAAAATCCACATATATTACATACAGACTTTTGAAATGAAATAGATGATTAAGTCTGTCTTTTTGTAGCATTCTTAATTGTACTGTTAACCAAGTTTTAAAAAATAATCCATGTGTGGAATTTGTACTCTGGGTATTGGTAACCTGATGTGTACTCCTTTAGTTCTCCTCTGGGCCCATGCATTCTACATTAACTATTATTAAATATTTTTTAAATGCATAAGTACGATAGTTTTTCCTTAGAACATTTTAAATTTTATAACAAAGAAGAATCTAATGGCCATTCAAGCACTTCAGCTGTTTCATGGCTAAGAAATAAGGCTTACCGGTGAATTGCTGCCAAAGCTGCATGTGCTTCTAAGGAGACAACCTAGCCTGGTTCTGCCTCCCTCTACTTCAAAGAATTTTCTTGGATCACTTATTTCCCACTATCCTTCCTCTCCCTTCGCCCCACACAGTCATCACTACTTGCAGTTCCAACAACAAAGTGCCCAGATCATCAAACAAAAGTGTTTATTTTATTTTACTCATTTTTTTTTTTACTATAACTCAAGCATTACAAACTCAAAGTTTATAAAGCAGATGAGACTTGTTTTTACAGTGTATTCTGAGGATGACCCGCAGCAGGTCTGTGGAGCAATTCAGAAGTTTCTGTTTTTACCAAGTGCCCCATACGTCCTATGCACAGTAGAGTTTGAGAAGTAACTATCGTTCCTCTCACAAAATCTGTGGCATATAGAAAAGGAACATATTAAGGTTATAGTCATATTTTTTAAAAGGTGACAAATTATTTAAAAGAAAGAGTTCAAAACCTAATTTTCTCAGTGATAAAGTGCTGAAACTGAAACAACTACTAGTAAATTAACGTTCAAAAGAAAATTATGGCATTACCTTAATATATTACTATACCATACCCATCAAGAATGTTAGCATCTGATAAGATAGCTACATAATACATTGTGTAATGGGAATTTCTCTCTATTCATTCTATGAATACTATGCTAATATAGTTCTAGTTTAATAAAAGTCCTAGTAAAACTAGGCTGGCTTAGTAAAATATAATATCCTGTTTCAAATGGAATAGTTAGCAGACCCTGTAAGACCAAGCCACCAATATTTTATTATTATGTTTACCCCATCTAGTTTCCTATTTTTTAGATTCAGAGCATCCTGAAGGCAAATGCTGTCTTTTCTCTAGTGCCTATTAGAATATGGTGTGCAGAGTACAAATTCTTTCAGTAAATGTTGAGTGGATGAATAAATTAATGGCTTGAAATACAATACACATTCCAGAAAGAAAACATATATATGAACCACAATTAACCTAAAAATTAAAAAGAAAGTACTATACATGAAGTAAAAGAAAAATACAAAGGAATAGAGAATAGATATCTTTAAAATAAGTAAGAAATAATCATTCTGGCTTATCTCACTTAGTAAAGCATGTAGAAATTTTAAATAATCTTTTAATATTTTATATGTAATAATCCAAGACATACTTCCATAATTGTGCAAAGTTGCTATTTTTAACACATTAGTCAGAAAGAAGATGCTGATGGGCTAATGTTTAATGTGGTGGCTAATTAATATTGAAAAAAATCTAGATGAAGATATAAAGGTCAGATAAACTTGCAAAAGGAAGAAAAATGTTCTTGTCTAACTGCATTTACTTTACTATCCCTTTAAATCCAGAACCAATTATAAGCATTGTGGTTCTATCAATAATTTCCTACTGAGTATATAAATTTAAATGGTAATTTCAATTTTCATTTTATCAGGACAAGGAAGATAATAAAATTGAATACAAATTAGTGCATATAGGTCATACACCTGAAAGATTAGAATATTTTGCTAATTATCAGTGAATTTAAGCAAAGTACTCAAATGTTTCATTTGAAGGACTGAATATAAATAAAAGAATTAAGTGACAAGGGAAATTAATGATGAATGCTCAAACACACAAAATTGGATACATCATTAGACCTCCCAGATTCTCATAGATATGATTTTATTTTAAGAAACTGACAAAGTTTTTGAAATAGAAAAATAACTTAGAAAATAAGATACTACTAAATAATGCAATAACAAAATATATACTTTGAACACAATCACTAAGTATTTATTGAATAACAATGGAAAGTTTTTATTCAGTTTTTCTCTCATTATGTGGGAGATTTCTTCCTCCATTATATATCCATTTATATTTACTTCAACTATATTTCTATAAGAGTTCATGATAATCTTCAACAAAAAGCAAAATTATCAACATCATTATTCCCCTTCCCTTAAAAGTAAAACAAGTTTTTAATTCTGCTTAAGATGATAAACAAAGTCATATTTAATCTAAATTTCTGTCAGAGTAGACCGTTGTCTTGTTCCATTAAGCTCATACTTATAGTCACTGGGACAAAGAGAATTTAAAGTTTGTGCAATCCTTTGAAAGGTAGAATGATGTTAAGTAGGCAAAAATGGGGCAAAGCAAAGTCAGAAATCTGGACATGAAACATTAATAAGGTGTTTCTCAGAGTAAACATTGCAAAAGTATGCTATTTCTGGTTCGCCGAAACACACAATCATTGAAGCTCACAAACATAATTTGCCAAACAGAAACCCTGATGTTAACTATGACATCATCTCTCAATTGTTATGCAATTTCTACTACAAATATTAATTTCTGAAGTTTTATGACCACAGTCTTACAAATGCTGAAATGAATAGTCAACTATAGTGATTAAAAATGTCTCCGGAATGATTATTAGTAAGTAGAATACAAGCATTTTCTGTTATTCTGTGTCTATTTTAAATTTTAATTGGATATTCATTAGTCAATGATCAAAACTATATAGATGTACTGTTTCCAAAACCTGGAATTCTTTCTACAAATGTAGCTATAGATTGAAAAAGCCAAATGTAATTTAAAAAGTAATTGTGGCAAATGCATGCAAATATAAATTCATAAAACAAAACAAGAACTTCAGGTAACCATATAGAGCTGTATAGATAAAATAAATATATGTATATGATATATAAAAATTCCTAAGAAACCAGAACAAAGAAGTATCTGAAGGAGATTTTCGCCCCATTCTGAATGTATGGAAGTCTTGTGACTTGGCCATAAATCAATTTTTCTTTATATTAAATGCCTATAAACCAGCTCAAAATATGTAGTAAACAGAACAGATCAGTCACCTAAACTAATCAAAATTCTCTAATAGTGCCTCACTCCAATAGAATAAGGCTAATGCCTTTCAGTAAGAATCCTTAGGCACAGCAAACTCACACATCTTTACAGCAACTTTTCCTCAAGTCATGATTTTTTACATGATATTCCCCAGACCCCCATCTGGCTCCTTTGGTCATGGTGTTCCTTGGGTGTCTAGTCTCTCCTGAAAGTTGTCTTCCCAGACCTCACTCAAATCTTGTCTTCCCCATCTGGCTTTCTCAAAATAATTAATTACTTCTTCCTCTGACCCTATAGTATACTGGATTTTTCTTCCCTTTAGCACAAATCAATGACTTGTTAGATAGTTATTAATGTGCTTTCCCCAACAGGGGATAATCTTTCACAGAAATCAGTTTGATCATCTTTTCTGTTTTCCTAATACCTACTTTAATGTTTCACTTTATCTAAATGCTCAAAAAGCATTGGAATGGATAGAATATAAGCTTCTGACAGAATGGATAGAATATAAGCTACTATCCAGGCCATCTTTGGGAAATCACTTAGTTTCCCAGTATGTTGTTGTTTTCTCCTGTTTTAAAAGAATAGATGGCTGATGACAACAAATGCCACAATGAATGGGAATGAATACTCTCAGCTATTGAAAGAAGGTGCATTTGAAGTACTGCTATCATAATCCATTGTCTATTTTATACTTGCATATGTGGAATCACTTCTTAGGCAAGAAATAGATGTAATTTTTATATTCTTGAAGTATCCTAAATTGCTGCTAAATGTTAACACTGTGCTAATGACACATAGCATATGAGAAAGCTTCCTCCTTGGATAGGTAAAATAGTGGTATTTATGCCCCAAGAATTTTAACATTTTTAATCCCTTTAACACATTTTCCAATAGAATATGTATGCTTCCAATATTTTCAGAGCTTGTGGCTAATTTGAGCTCTTAACTAAACCACCCTTTCCTCTGACCATGAGGAAGAGTCACATTGAGTTCTCACTTGTTGCTTTCCTAAATTACTCTGATCATATTTGGCAGTAACCTTGTCCCACCTCATCTCTTACCTGAATCCAAGGCCATCTGTCATTTTCTGCAGCTGTCCATGCATTTATAAGACCCTTCTTATTAAGACGTGCATAGTAGGGATACCATTTCTGGAGTCCAAAAAGAGCTCGGTGAGTAGAGGAAGCTGTTATTTGCTGATTTGATATGATTCCACCTTCAATTCCCAATGGACCTGAACATTCTGGGAACAAATAAGGAAAAAACATGAGAATGTGTTAGAAATAATATATATGCAAAATGTGGCTGTAAGATTTGATGGGAGATATTTTTTAAATGATTTGAATTTGTGCCACCATGTCTTTTACATCTCATTCAGTTTACAGTTCCCTTACTGACTGCTACATTAAGGAAATAATTCTTGCTCCTTACGACAGTCTCTTCTTCCTTTGCTTTGAGAGTGGCTACTGAACAGACACTTCCCTTCTGCATTTTGATTCTGTTATGTACCATTAATGTTTGGTTGTTGATCATGTCAACAAAAGCATAATGTACTTAAAAGGCCTCATATTTAGTATACCACATAAATCCTAAGCCCTCAACAAATAGCTGTCAATTCATTATTTCTTGACTAGCACTTACTTGAGTTTAGTGTCAAAATCATTTTTGCACTAATTTAGCATTTCTCACTAATATAAACTATTTACCTTAAATTTTTATACCCATTCTCAATTATGTTTCCACAAAAAGGGCAATGCATAAGTCTGTTAACATTTAAAAAAATTTACTATAATAACATAACCTCTGATATGTTATAAATGATAAAAAATATATGAACAAATTATTATTTTTTTAAATTTTTTTATTTTAGCATATTATGGGAGTACAAGTGTAAATGTTACTTATATTGCCCATGCCCCCCTGCCCCCTCAAGTAAGAACTTCAAGCATGAACAAATTATTTTTATAGAGAGTAAGTAAATTCTCTGACAACATTATATGGGATATAATGTGTACAACTCAGTAAGTCAAGATGTTAAAATATTTATCTTCCTAATATTTTTAGTTCAAAATTTATAATTCTAGATATTGAGATTCTGCACTTACATTTTACCTTTATTTTTCTTTAAATCTGTAACTTGGAAACTTAAGAAAATTTCCTAATAAAACTTAAAATACTAAGATTAAAGCATAATATATTTGAATAATATATTCTCAGATACCAAGTATGTTTAGTGTTTTAAATTAGAAGTGGAGGTAAATTCATCTAAAAATTATACCTATATATTTATATATAAAATTATGTATATTTGAATTACTTAATTACTTCAAAAATTTCACCAGAAAGTACATTCATTTTGAATACAATTTGAAAAATTCAGAATAAGCATGATTATGATATAATGAAAAATATCTGATTTTCATAATTTCATTAACATTTCACACATTACACTCAACCTTTTGCCATGTTATATTTGTATGATAAATATGATAATTCTATGATAAAATACACTACAATAATTTACCAGAATTCCTGAAAATAAGAAAGGAGTACATTGCCATTATTAAATGTCAGTATGTATAAGCCAACTTGATTGGTGATTGCCACCAAGCACATTTAAGATTTTAATTACTATAGAAGTCCAACATTGTCAGAAATTAAACATTTACACTCACATTGATTTTGAAAATATGAAAAGAAGCATTTGGCAGCTGGATTATAATGTTTTTAAAAGTTAGGAAGATATTTCTCATTTGGTAAACAATTTTTTTCATTGCTATAAACATGCTTCTTTTTAAATTCCATGCTCTGATTGTAAATAGCTCTGATGGCTTTAAAACCTTTAAACATTTTTTATAAAAAGGTTGAAAATATCCTATGCAATAAGAACAAAATTGGAGGCATCAATTTACCAGACTTCAAACAATACTACAAGGCTACAATAATTAAAGTAGCTTGGACTGGCACAAGAACAGGGACATTGACCAGTGGAAAAGAACTGAGAACCCAGACATAAAACCATCCTTGTACAGCCATCTAATCTTTGATGAAGCAGATAAAAACATATGCTGGGGAAAAGAATCCTTATTTGATAAACAGTGCTGGGAAAACTGAATAGCCACATGTAGAAGACTGAAACAGGATACACACCTTTCACCTCTTACAAAAATCAACTCATGATGGGTAACAGACTTAAACCTAAGATGTGAAACTATTAAAATTCTAAAAAGAAATGTTGGAAAAACTCTTATAGACATTGACCTTGGTAAAGAATTTATGATGAAGACCCCAAAGGCAATCATAGCATCAACAAAAATAAATAAATGGGGCCTGATCAAATTAAAAATCTTCTGCACAGCCAAAGAAACTGTCACAAGAGCAAACAGACAACCTACAGAATGGGAGAAAATTTTTGCATGCTACACATCTGATAAAGGACTGATAACTAGAATCTATTTAGAGCTCAGGAAAATTGGCAAGAAAAAATCAAACAACCTTATCAAAAAGTGGACAAAGGACATGAACAGAAACTTTTCCAAAGAAGACAGAATAATGGCCAACAAACATGCAAAAATGCTCAACATCTCTAATCATCAGGGAAATGCAAATCAAAATCACAATGAGATATCACTTATCTCCAGTAAGAATGGCCTTTATCAAAACATCCCAAATCAATAAATGGTGGCATGGATGTGGAGAGATAGGGACACTCACACACTGCTGGTGGGACTGCAAACCTCTATGGACAGTACTATAAAGATACCTCAAAAAATTAAAAGTAGAACTACCATTTGATCCAGCAATCCCAATACTGGGTATCTACCCAAAGGAAAAAAGACATTCTATAAAAGAGACACCTGCACTTAAATGTTTATAGCAGCACAATTCACAATTGCTAAGATGTGTAAACAACCCAAGTGCCCATCAATCCCTGAGTGCATTAATAAAATGTGGTATATGTAAACCATGGAGTACTACTATTCAGATATAAGAAACAATGGTGATACAGGACCTCTTGTATTTTCCTGGATACAGCTGGAACCTATTCTACTAAGTGAAGTATTCCAAGAATGGAAAAATAAGCACTGCATGTATTCACCATCAAATTGGTTTCACCGATCAACACCTAAGTGCACATATAGGAATAACATTTATCGGGCGTCAGGCAGATGGGATTGGGGAGAAGAGGATGAGTATATACATATATAATGAGTGCGATGAACACTATCTGTGGGATGGACACACTTGAAGCTCTGACATGGGGGTGGGGGGACAAGGGCAATATATGTAACCTAAACATTTGTACCCTCATAATATGCTGAAATTTAAAAAAGTTGAAAATATGTGGATAAGTAATCATCTTAATCAGGACTATGTTAGTAAAGATGACATTGATATGGTAAAAAATTTCATCTTTGCCATTGATAATTAAAAAATTATTCACTTGATATGTTAAACATAGATAAGAAGATCTTTTTTGAACATGTAATTAGTACTATTTAACACTTTATAAAGGTATATGATATCACTTTGAAGTCATTAAATTAAAAAGACATCCATTTGTAGAACTGTAATATTAGGAGCTGCAGATAATAATCTGATTTTTACATTCCATAAAACATAACACTGAAAACTCAAATATTGATTCTTTAGATTCTTGTTTTGCTTTCCATTTTAAACTTAGAGATCTTTACAGACTTCATAAAAGTACCTAGGAACTTTCATGATGACACTCTGATTTTAAAAACTGCAGGAGCCTAAGCTTTTTAAAACTATTACCATTAAAGGAGTCTCAAGGATTTTGTCCTTGATATGCACAATGTTTTGAAGAAAAAAGGCAGCAGGCAGGGAGGTCATTTATTGCAGACCATTAATGCGTAAGCCAGTAAGTAGACTAGCAAAGGTAGAGAGAGCCAGCATGGATTAATTAAACTGTGTAATAACCTTAAAAAGTACTCTATGCTGTTTAGTTACATGCTTCTAAGGCTTTTATGCTGACTTGGACATCTTCACAGAATTTGTAACCATTTTAAAAGACAGAGTAGATCTCAAACCACACATCTATAATTTTACTTCATCAATATGATGAAGTAAACCTACCAACCTCCTTTATATGTTGTTTAGCTAACATATAAATAGACATATTGACTATGATATTGCATCATGATATAATCAAATACCAAAAAGTGATTTTGAAAATATACTCGCATAGGTTTACTTTGCCATAAGGCTCCCGATCATTGGCATGCCCTCATTAGTAATTTGAATTCATTAATTAAAATAACATAATTTAAAAAAATACATGTTGACATGTTATATTTATATAGGGCTTCAGTGTTCAAATTATTTTCACATGAGCTATCTCATTGTGGTGATGTCAAATTTACAAGTATTTCTTTTTCCAGTTCTCAATTCTACACTGTTGCTTTTTTTCAATACAAACTTTTGCAACATTCACATACATACTCTACCACTTGTGTGCAGTTGGAAAATCCCACCAGAGAAAACATGACTGTGGCAGGGGTCCCTGAAGGAAGCATTATCAGTGTACTCGCTGGGGTTAGTGATGCTCCATTCTCCTCTTTTTTTAAATTGGGGTTATAATGATACCTAATCCATCAGTTGTGAAAGAACATGAGGTCACAAATGCTTTGCATTTGTATCTATAAATTGTTAAAAAAAAAATAATGAGCTTGGTTCTGTAAGGTATTTGGATGTTTCTCTTTAGTGGACCCCAACTGAGGTGATCCTGGCCTTTTAGCCCCTCTTGACAGGTGCTGTGTCTTTTTCACTGTTGCATCCTTAGATGCTCACAATACACAGAAAGAGCTCAATAAATATGCACTGAATGTTGCTTTGTGAATCTTTTTTTTTCCAAACAGTAAACTAATAAGGAAACCCAAGCCTTAAGTATATTTCACAGTGGAAAGTTGTCACAACAGCAGATTTTCTTCACTAATCATGTGGCCTACAATCAAATGGATGTCATCATAATAAAAGGTTCAAAATCCAATTTCCTTTTGCCTGTGCTATCCACTTCCCCAATGTCCTATTAAATTCAACAGTTATAAAAACCAATGAAGAAGCTGCAATTCAGAATGAAAATGATTACACACCAAGATTAAGTGACCTTAAACAATTAATAGTAAGATGCTTAAAAGGAAAGACAATATGAAGATATGCATTGCTTTTACTATCAATAAATGAGAGAAGAGATATGAAATAGTAATTGATAAAATAATA